TCTGACTTATAATAAGATCTTTTATAACCTTTATACCTAACTTATTTGCCTAGCTAAGGAGCTATTATAGCTATTACTTACTTATCCTATATCACTTTATAGCAGACGGTTCTCTTATTAGCTATATACTTAACTTACTTAGTCTAATTCTCTTAAACATGTCTTAGTCTTATTTAATTAACCCTCCTCTTAAAGAGGGTATAAAATTAAGTGGATCTATAATATTATTAGCTTGCTTTTAGGGCCTACCCCTCTTTTTAGGAGTATCTAGTTGTGCCCTCTTTATATATGTTCTCTGTAAAGTATTTATAAGGGGAGGCAGAGAGTACTATGTTAAGAGGTCAGCTCTCTTACGTCTTTTGTTAACAGAGTATGCTAAGATGACATAAGCGTTTTGCTATATAGGACTTTATATATAGATTTGCTTTATAGTTAGCATATACCTTATTAAAATGCTAGTCTAGGTTCTTTTGATATCAGACTTTTATTGCTTCTCTTTAGGGATATAAGTATAGATAATGTTACTAAATATTTATAGATAACTAAGATAAAGTATCTAGCTAGTCTAAGCCTGCTTAGGAGTTATCTTAATTTCTTTTATTAGTAGTTAATTTCAGATATAATTAATAGTATCTATAGCCTTAGCCTAGAAGTGGTTTGACAGACTATTATTAATTAGTATTAAGTCCTTTATTATATAAATAGTTCTTTATACTTGCTTTACATTACTATTATGCTTAAGGGTATAGGGCATAAAGGAACTAATAGATATACTCTTTATCTTATAGTAGTCCTTAAGGATAATGCTTATAAATTCTCCCCCTTTATTAACTTAGAGCGCTATTAAAGGATACTCTAATTTAGCTACTACTATAATATACTAGTTCTTAAAGTACTTATATATATCTAACTTCTGCATCAGAAAGTCTATCTAACTCTTCTTTGTAAAGTTGTCCTCTAGTATTATAGTATAATGCTTGCTGCAGAAAGAGGCAGGGTAATAAGGTCCTTACAAGTTAGAGTATACTAATTCAAGTTTCCTTATAGTCTTTTGTCCTCTTTTATAATGAATCATCCGCGTCTACTTACTCTTGATGCAGGGCTTATAGATTTGACTGTCTTCTTGCTGTTTGATTAATTCTATTTTAGAAATAGCCAGATCTAGCTCGAAGATGACCTGATCTGTATCTAAAGTAGCTAGATTTATACTAGTAGACATCCTGCTAGCTTAAGCAACTCGAACATGACTCATATGGCTAAGTCAATAATGCTATAGTTGCTATTATAGATTCTTAGCTATTTTGAATGTTAGTCTGCCTTATACAGCTATTAGCATAGTAGCGTAAGTACTATTAAGTACGAAAAGGTTATTCTTAAGAGTTATATAAGTAATAATTTCTTTATTAATAATAAGTATTATATAGTCGTTTATATCCACGTATTTTACTCTATTTGACTTTAATTAGCTAAGAGATAAGAGGTTACTTATATAGGCCAGCATATATACTATATTATTAATGTTTATATAACTATCTTTTGTCTTAATTCTAACGGTACTAACTTGTTTAGCTATAATAGTGCTAGTGTTAGTAGTAATAAATTATTTATTTATAATTGTTAGTACTTAGAACTAACTGCTTTAACTAGTAATATATTTGCTAGTATAAGAATTAATATACTAATTACGTTCTTTATTAAGCTTAGTTAACTTTATTACATAAATAATACTATAAGGGAACTCTTGCTGTTCAGAATTACTATCTATATTATTATTAGTTTTCACTTGATTAATACAACATTTAAAAGCTAGCCGCTTTAACTTGATAGTATTTCTCCTCTTGTTAGTGCTTCTTTTAATCTATTTAGCCAGTTTATAGTCCCTAGTAAAGTAGCCAAGTTTATTATAGTTATAGTATTAGATCTTAGCTAGGTTCTTATATTGCCTACTTCTGAATCTTACGCTTATAGCTACTTTAGATAGCAGGCTTGTCTTAAGATCTGTATTAATTTATACTTCTTTAGAAGCAAGTATTTATTAAATATCAGCTAGCTTTATATCCTTCTAATTAAGAATATGCTTCTTCTTGCTATTAAATTAAGTAAAAAGATCTTTAAGGAGTTAAATAATCTGAATATTCTCCTAAATGTCCTTTATAAGGTTAATAGCTATACAAATTTGTTTAATAATAGCTGATAGCTTATTAATATAAGCATTAATAGACTTCTTAAGGCTAAAGGGTTTATAATTAGCCGGATAAGAGAAGAGCTCTTGTAAGGATATATAAATAATGCCCTATCTAGCTTATAAGCATACAGATTTGAGATGATTCTAGATAAGCCGTGAGTTGTTAATAGCCTTAATGCCCTAAAACAGCTTATCGCTTACGTCCCTCTTTAGGATATAGGCTGCTCTCGCGGCTCTATAATTATCTAGGTTATTCAGTGGACTAAGGGTAATATATTTCTATAGCTCTTTCTCTATCAGATGTAGATGAGCCAAATTGGACCAACAAGGCCAGTTTTTGAAGCCCTTAAGCTTCTCTCGCTTCTTATAGTCATTATTATTAGTGGAGCTCATCTTGCAGAGACTGTAGAGGACTTCAGAGAGCTTTAAGGCTGTAGAGGAGTCTAATTGACTTAAGGTCCTAGAACTGCTAGGCGGATTTAGGACCTTTCGGAATAAGGGATTATAGAATGCTGCTAATTAGGATCTCCTTTAATTGCTTAATGCTCTATTTGTCTGTTAGCATTCAGAGGGTGCTCTCTAGGCTTATAACCTGTTAAATGTAACGCTAAACTGCTTCTGCTATCTATAGATGTCTGTACTCTCTCAACTAGTTAATGTAGTGACTTATACAGAAGTTATATCTAACTCTTATCCGAAGTTCAAATATAATCTTGCTCTAGTGACTAGTAGCGCTATGCCTATTTCGGTATAGCCCTAGGTTATATAATAACTACTAGGCTAGCAACTTAGCAGCAATTTAATACTCTTTAATTTATTAGCTTTTTTTGCTTAAGAGTCTTTTATTAGTTTTTTTATTTTATTTATAAATTATTATTTATTAAGGAAATAAAAATACTTCTTTTATTATTTTTTTTAGTGTCTTTTCTAAGTATTTATATTAGCAGACTTAGTCTTTCTTTAGAGCATATATATTATAAGACGTAAACACATTAAGCACAGACAGGCACTACAAAGCTGCCTGACGCTCTACGAAGGAACTATGACCGACTTGGACAGGACTAGACCCTGAACAGCACACATGGGCAGAACTGGACAACGTAATGATCAGAGGTGATCAGGATGAGCACTTATGAGCAATGATCAGAGGTGATTAGGATGAGCACTCATGAGCAATGATCAGAGGTGATCAGGATGATCAACTCTGAGCACGAATCTCCTAGCCTATATCAGCACGCTTATTTCCTAGATAGTTTCATAGTCTTCGTAGTCAACTTATGTTATCAGCTCTTACCTAGAAGTTGAAGACATCTTGTGATCTACTTATATATCCCTTGTTCTATAACTCTAACCTCTTAGACCTCATCTCTAGTTAAGACTTGTCTTAAATTATTAAGCCTTAATAATATATTTTGCTATATTTAGAATAATTTAATATTATTCTTTATTACTTAGAGCGTCCACTTTAAAAAGTGTTATTTTGCTTTCTCTTATCTGTTATAATATTTACTATTAGTATAAGCTTTTTAGTATCCTTCTTAAGATCTTCTTTAAGCCTGTAGAAAGTAATATAAAGCTCCTCAGGATTAGCAAGTTATATTTTATTTTTATATTTCTTAAGAAACTTAAACTAATTAAAAAAAGAATTAAAATTATTATTTTCGCTCTAAAAAAAAGAATTAAGAAAGTTATTAGATTCTAGAGGAAACATAAATCATATATCAAATAGTTATATATAGTTTTATAAATAATAATAAATTAATAAATATCAGAATATCATAAGCGTTAAAGACTTAGAAAGTTCTATAGCGCTCAAAGCTACTCTGTAATAAAAGAAGCTACGTACATTTGCTTAAAGGCTTTTTATAAAGTTTTTAGAATAGAATATCTATTTATTTGAATCAGAATAACAAAAGATAACCGTTCTATAATTTCAGAAAGAGCTATTTTCTCCTTATCTTATTATTTATTGAATTCCTTAATCTCTTCTTTATAACCCTTATAAATAGTATTTTATTAATGCTAATTTTATTTTATTAGTATTCAAGTCAAGATCTAATTGATCGAATTGCTCTCGAAATCAAGTAAGTGTTATAAAGACTTTTGTGCGACTATAATTAATTAAAGGATCTAAAACAATAAAACTCCACGCTTTTAATCTATTTAGGCGTGCTCTCATGACTCTTGACTATAAGAATTAGTCCTCTGTGCCCTTGAAGAGAGAGATACAGGTCTTTTCGTACGAGAAGAAGTCATAAAGAGAATCCATAATAATAGGATTTGGCTGTACAATACAGCAAAATTCGGGGCTAGGCCGAAAGTGATAATATAAGGCCTGCGGAGATTCCAATGAATATATCTATTACAGCTTTCGCCTAATAAAATAAAAGACAGGCCGGGCTCATAACCTGTTAGAAGTAGTAGCAAACAGCGTACGGAGGTGCCAATTCACTTGATTGAGTTACTCCTATCAAGAGGAGCATTTGCTCATACTAATAGCTATAGAAGCGCATTACTCTAACAGCTCAGAAACAGCATTTGGCGTTCAATTCGTATAGCAATGCTCACTGCCATAAATGACAGGGCGTAACAGTTACAAGAGCGTTTCGTGCGTTTTGCATGCGGGGACCCTTGTACCATCATGCTAATACGCAACAGATACGTATCATATACGCAGGGATTCTGACACTTAATATTGATTGTTTTAAGCATGGCTCACACATGAAGAGAAGAAAGAGAGGAGATGAATTACTTTTAAATAATATTCAAGGCATAGAAGAGTTCTCTTTAGAGGCTATAACCTGTTTAATCACACTTAATGCGGCAATTTATCGCTCCGCGAAAACCAATGCCAAACTCTTGCCAGTGACTTCCCGGGGAATGTGAGGACGTTTTGAATGTGTATGGCTAATGTGTAAGTGGCAGCTGACATCAAGAAGACGCATCCGATGAACCAACCCCTGCCCATGCTCTCGAAAGTGACCCGTTGCTCATGAGGGATAGCAAAGATCGCCTACATGTCTTAGTGAGTTTGAAGGTACGAAGATTCGATGATGTGGACTCACAGCCATCAAACCTATTGGCAAATAAACAATAGTCAAGTAAGTCAGCTTCTGAATGGTGCTGTTTTGTTGTAGTGATGCACGGCTATCTCTCAGTCCCAGCACAGCCGAGAGCTTTGAAAACGTTTTGTCAATAGGGTATCTAAAGAGTGAATGATGGATAAGAAACTTACAGCATCCTTGTATCGGCTGTGCAACTCGATCTTTCGTTCCAAGTCAGTTTTCACAATGGTCAGACTCAGAAGGTTGCTTTCGAATGTCCCCAGATATTCTTGACATATTCTCTCCAATAACCCGCTTCTCTTACCAGGGCCCTGAAATTATTAGCAGATGTATCCATAGCAAAATGTATCTTTTCGAGGCAGAATACTAGTCATACATCGTTTATCTGTTGCATAAGCTCCTCCTTGGCCTCAAGAACGCTATCTACGGACGCTTTCAGACTTTTCTGAAGCCTGTACAATGAATCCAAACTCCAGAGTCCCAGTTTGAACAGAGGAAATGAAGTATAGTCTTCCGACCACTCCTCTTCGCTCAAGAAAACGGTCTGGATCCCCATTAGCATATGCAGAATAGGAGTGACAAGAGATTGAAAAGTGAGACCTACCTTGAAGTCAACCAATGACGCAAGCTCTTTAATGGCGTTGTTATACTGCTCGCTAAGATTTGAGCATATCATGCCCAACGCTAGCAAAACACCAAGCACCTTGCGGTCTGTGGCTGATGGATGAACTTCCGCCACAGCGTGCTGGAGTCCTCGGCGAGTTTCATCAAATTATTGTCGCCAATATCTTCCGAAATGATGGTGCATTTGCTGAAGTCTCCAAAGGCGTTGGTTGAAAGAATGACTGAAGACATAATAAGCCGAAAGTTCTTTGGTTCCTGGTTGTTGTCGCTATTTCCGTTTGCCTCATAGCATGTCTTCACAGGTGTCAATTCCTTTGCGAGAGATATTGGGTCATGGTCTGGTCGAAGTTTTGCTTCCTCGTCGGAACATATGTCATCGCCACGCTTTGGTAACCAGCTCCTCAACGTAAGCCGAAAGATCCTTGGTGTCTGGTTCTTGTCGCTATTTCCATTTGCCTCATAGCATGTTTTCACGGGTTTCAATTCCTTTGGGAGAGATATTGTGTCATGGTCCGGTCGAAGTTTTGCTTCCTCTTCGGAACATGTGTCATCGCCATCCTTTGGTAACCAGCTCCCCAACGTAATCCTCGCAATCCACGTGTTTCCTTTCTGACACAAGAATCGAGGAATGTGCAGGAGGTGATTATTTAGACATGCAGTTGACTCTGGGTGTATCACATAGACCAACAACGGTATTAGCCTTTCCGGTTGCTTTCTCACAGTCCTTGTGTCAAATCAGTCAACATGGATCCATATATGCAAGAATTTGGTGCTCTTACAGAAACCGATGTTGAACGTTTTGGTCAGCAAGCTAGAGGAGAAGGTTAGCGGTGATATTGGGTGACAAAATTCTGCTTACGCTATCATAAAGGGCCTGGACCAGCTCCTCTTGGCATTCTTGGTGGGGACTATATTTGGGCGGTTTACGACGATGGCAACTCGGCGTATTGCGATGATAGATATGCCTGATATCGCGAGCAATGTATGTACCAGCTTGGCCTGGACGTATTCGCAGACATTTATTGGAACTCAGACCAAGATCAATGGCCACAATGTCTGACAAGACAACGGACCCGGGCATCTCGCCTAGAGCATCCCTGAGATCATCAATTGTGAACCCCGCCTCAAGTTGGGATTCTGCATAACCCCGTATCGCGGCGGGTATGTTCATTTTGTCAATAACTGGCGGCTGATAGAGATGTGGCGTGTCATCAAGTGAATTGACAAAGTTGTCAGGGTGATATTGACGTGGCGGAGAAAAAGTGGTCCATTCGATAGGCGGAAGACCATCGCCTGTGGGACTCTCGTGCGCATCCACTTGCCGGCTGATCGGGTATCTTCTCTGTACAGTTTCGACGACTTTTTGGGGTCCTGACATCTTTTGGTGGATATCCAACAGTGTCGATCCAAGAACAGAAGTGGCTTCCGAGCGAAGCCAGCCTTTGCGTGCCTTCGAATGTGTTCTCTCCCAGCATGATACTACCATGGCTTCCGAGTTAAGAAAATGACAGAGTTTTTGTTTGTACGACTGGACTTCCTCCGCCTTCCGTTCATCCTCCAAGCTCAGGACGTTAAGACGACTGTTATGACAGAGGGCATGAATCTCCCAAGGACCGGAGGTGTATCCTTCCTCATGTGGTGGCAACCAACCTGGATTGATGTACCTTGTAAAATCTCGTTGTTTGACGCGTCTAATGGAAAGAGAGGCCACAGTATCGACGTTGTCATTCAAATTCTCTAGGCCCAATTCATGCGCCAGAAAGGCAAGCCGGTCGACAATTTCGTCTTCCACAGAGTAAGGAGATTTGGACAATAGCTTTGCCGCCAGAGCTATCCTCGCCGCCCTTCCAAGTCGAGATACCCTCCTGTCTAGACCCTCGGTTTGCCAAATATTTGGAAGAATTCCTTGTCGGGAAAGGCTCAAGATTGATCCATAGTGGTACCACTGAAGCAGTGGTATTTTATCTTTGTTTGCTTTCCCAAAGTTGCAGTCGTTGGCAGGAAGATACGAGCAATTAGCCTGCTCCTTGTCATTCGAGGAATCCTTGAGCTCCCAGTTGCGCTCAGGGAAGCTCTTAATAACATACCAAATCGTGATCGTAATGTAGTAGTAGTCGGACTCGTCCGGCGTACGAGAATCTTGCAGGAGAGGATTTGGATGGTCAGTTTGATCACGTAGAACTTCAGACAAAAAGCGAACAACGTTTTCCACGGTATCCAGAATGCGATTCCGCTGGTTCTCGGCAACACCGAGCATACATTTCCTGTCATTTCTATCAAACTCGGAAAGATCCAGATACAAATTCTTGTTAGTATCCTCCTTGGTGTCGCTTTCGCTAAAGATTGGCCGTGCCTGATCTCGTCCGGGTTGATCAAGGCTGAACAGGAACTTGTAGACTTTAGCGAGAAATCGGACTTTCCAGCTGTTATGGTGGTCAATCCTTGAACTCTGCATTGGCTTGCAGTAGAAATACGAAGGAAGTAGACTTACAACAGAGACTTGAAGTCAACTCTCGGTAGGACAAAAAGGTTGCTCACAAGAGCCAAAGTGGGAAAATCTCTTGGGACGATGTCGACTTGCAAGATTTTCTCGAGGCAACGACCAACCAGGCTGACCTCGGTGTATTCAGAGACCGAATCAGTGTGCAGGTCACGTTCGAGAAAAATAGTCTCCCACATGTTGCCGGTCGCACCCAAGCTCGATGGGTTAGCAGCCACATAGTTGTAGATCTCCTCAGGAGTCGGGATCTTGGGCCATTCCACCTTTGGAGGCTCTTCTGCCTTTGGGTCTGCAATCGGCTCAGGAGTCGGGATCTTGGACCGTTTCACCTTTGGGTACTCTTCCTGGGGTTCAATTAAACGAATGGCTGCCACGAACGTAGCATTTCTCCTTCCAACACCCGCCTTTTTCATGTCTGGCAACTTTGCAACCGCATCATAAGTATTGTCCGGAACTATTGGCTCCTCTTCCTCCGTTGCCGTACTTAGTCTAGGGGATTCAGGTGTTGAGGCCCTACTATCAGCACCCCGTTTTTGTTTGGTCAATTTAAGCCGCTGGTAGTTCTTCCCGTCAAGGTCGAGTTGCCAAACCATTGCGTCCAGTCCAATTTCGTGCTTCTTGTCCCAGATTCGAAGGCAATCTTCTGTGGAACAATCATTGATGTCCATTACGATGGACCCGTCAGATTGCTGGCCAGCCATTGCTAAACTTTCCAGCCATACAGGGCCTCCGATTTTGAGGACGATTTGGCTCTCGCTAGGGAAAAGGGGGCACCTCTCGACGTCCGATCGACAACCCTGCTCAAGACGCAGTACCTGGTAACATATTCCATCCATAACAAATGAAAACATCACGCAGGTGCCGGTTTCTTTCTCAGCTTCCTCCTCGGTTTGCGAGTTAGATTCCTCCTTGGTCTTTGGCATATTTTCATTCAGAAGAAGGGAATACTCATTGAGCGGCCAACGGTAGTTGAAGCAGCCACGCTCAACCATTTTACCCAAACGAAAGCTCGACCCCTTGTTCGTACCGTTATTACCCCCAGAGACATATGCGATCGCGTCTCTTGACACCTTCAGACCAAAAGTGGATAGACCCCCAAACTCCCTTTGCGCTCGGGCTAGAGAAGCGTAGAGCGATCTCGAAAAGTTGCCCCGGCCGAAAACCAGTCCATATTTATTGGACGGCGCAGAGAGATGCAGCAGCTCGCCTCCGTAATTGCAAGACCCGGCGTATCCTTCGGCACCAAAATCGAAAGAACAAGCCGAAAGGTGGGAGAACTGAGAGTAGCTGATGTACGTCGATCCTACATAATATCAGACGCTGGTAGATCGCATCTAATGCCTGTGCGTGACTTGAACGATATTTGGACATGGAAACCTACCACGGGCATCGCGACTCAGCCAACGAAAGCATTCGGTAGCCTTGTCCATCATTTGTTCTGTAGTCTCATCCATTTGTTGAGATCTCCCCGTCAAGCTGTCGATGAAGTTGCAACACTCGAACCTTGCGAGTTCTGGACTTCTGGGAACCCAGAAATCCTCAATGAGGGATTGTCTGAGGTAGGGGTAGATTGGGACTTATCTTTCCGACTCATGTTCAACATTCCCGGGGGCCTGCAAGCCACCACGGACAATGAATATTTTTCGTGCTTTCACATCAAGCCAGACCTTGTTCTTCAAAAGCATTGGTGTAGCTCAGCTGCGAACCGCAAGTGGCTTGCGCTAATATTTACTACGTATGATCATGGTGGTTCAGCCACAAAGGGCTCTACTAATCAATGCCTCGTGATCACCATTCTGTTTCCTGTCAGGAGACCGAGGCAACCAATTACATTGCTGTGATTGGCAGGGAATACTGCATTTGGCCCCTAATCCACTCCGACAGTGGCACCTATCAGGGCATCCTGAATGACAGAGCTGCAACGCTGTGCTTGGGGATTGCCTGAATCGGGACACCGGGGATACTTCAACCGGGGAGATTCCGGGTTTGTCTGCGACTATACTCAGCCATGAACAATTCAGATTGCTGCAGTGGCTCGGAAATATTGTGTAAAGTCCCACGATACCTTTATCCCGGCCACTCTGCAGAGAGAAAAGCAAGATTTGGTGGCCAGAGAATAATTATACCTGTCACATTAAATCACGGATTTAACGCCAGACCTCGGGCCTATTTCGGACTTTTGTCCGGTCTTAGCACGGGAGCCTCTCGGGACCGCCCCCCCTTGGCAACGCACCCACAGCCACAACGCACCCACAGCCACAGTGATTTTGAGGGCTCTGATTGGCTTTTTTAAGCTAGTTGATTGGAAGTGCTAAGCTCCTTTTGTAAATGACTATTGATTTTGTCATATTTTGCAGTTTACCGATATTCCTGCTACCCCGGCCCGAAGCTTGGCGCCAAAATTTATGGCAGTTAAGGATCCTCCTCCTAAACAGAACGTTCTAGACATTCCCTTACTATTCTGCAGATGCAGTTAGAGAAGACAGACTGCCTAACACGTGATTATAGACTGCCTGCTACTCTTAGACAGATATAAGATGCTTGCTGCTACTAGCATGACAGATTACTACCGTCTCTTCAATAATGGCAGGTATGCTGTTGCTGAGCCTGAGTGCAACTTCAATGATAGATGGTCGGGCCGAAGCTCCGTGCCAAAATTCTATGCAGTTAAGGATTCTACATTTCTACCCATCAAAACTTCAACTACTAACAACTCCACAACCACAAGTCAGAATCAACTCTAAAATGGCTACAGAGCTCCCTCGTCGCCGGCGTGCCCCTGCTGATGGCAATTGTTCAAATCCTCCCTCTCCCCAGGGCCCTAGAGCCTCTCGAACTATCCTTGATACTCCGCGCCGTACAAAGCTCCTTGCTGATGCACGAGCTTACGCAGGCAAAATGCCTCGAAAAGAGCTATTTAAGATACATAACGTAGCCGAGAGAACTGGCTACCAGATTCTAAAGGAAGGAACTATGCGCCGTGGCCCTGGCGTTCATAACCGTGGCCGAAAGCGAATTTTAAAGGATCATCAATGCGCTGCAATTGAAGCCGTTGAAGATGCAAATTTCTTCTTTGCTGCTTCAAGTCATTATAGAATAGCAAAGGACATTGGTTTAGCAAATGGATCTGAACGTGCTATCCAAAGAAATATGACAGATTTTGGTGTGGGAACGTATCGCGCACAGCAGAAGAAATGGCTGCCAGAGTACTCAATTAAAGCACGCAATCTTTGGGCATTTGAACATCGCTATCACAACCAAGAAGACTTCAAGAAGTATCGTTGGTGTGATGAGTCGCATTTTGCTACTGGCCTTGCCTAGCTAAAGGCTCTGAACGTGCAATTCAAAGAAATATAGCCAATTCTGGTATAAGAATATACTGCGTATTACAGAAGAAATGGCTACTAGCACACTTAATTGAAGCACGTAATCTTTAGGCATTTAAACACCGCTATCACAACCTAGAAGACTTCAAAAAGTATCGGTGATGTGATAAGTCTCATTTTGCTACTAGCCTTCAACGGCAGGCCCTAGTTCATTGTCGCTGTGGCTAAGAAAATCAAGAAAAGCTTTCAAAAACCTAATACAAACTCAAGCGTAAAAATCAGACCATCCATATCTATACAACCATCAGCTGGAACTTCAAGGGCACCCTCCACTTCTACACAGGCACAGGGAAAGGCGGGCGACTTATCTAAGCTGATTATGTCAAGATTTTGGAGGAGGTTGTTGCTCCAGAATGGGACGAAAATCTCATTCTGATCGAAGATAACAATAGACCACATGGCACAAAGGGTGTTGCTAATAACAAGGTTAAGCAAGCAAAAATCAAGCTTAACATCAAATAGCAAGCTTAGCCTTCCAATTCGCCAGATCTCAATCCCATTGAGACCATTTGGAGGATAATAAAGCAGCGTCTGAAGTCCAAGGGGGTCATCTTCCAAACTGAGGCGCTGAAGGCTGCTATCCAAGAGGAATGGGATAAAATCACCATTGAGGAGATCAACAATGCCATCTCTACCATGCCAGATAGAGTAACTTGTTTGCAAGAGCGTTTTAGGAAGGCCATACCCTATTAGAGGGGGGTAGATAGAAATGCAGAATCCTTAACTGCCATAAATTTTGGCGCCAAGCTTCGGCCCCTGCTGCCGCTGCACCAGCCACGTAGACAGTTCCTCCAAACCGAGCCCTATCCCTACCTAGATCCCCACGTACTTGCCATCACTTGTTCCTCCTCTTTTTGACCAGGGTTTTCTTTGCTTCTTCGTATCTCTCCGCATTCCGCTTGCGCTTCGGCCGGCCCAGACTTAATGACGCCGTTGTGGATAGATTTAAGGAAGGTGAGGGTGAACGTGGAGGAGGAGGAGGAGGAGGAGGAGGAGGAGGAGGAGGAGGAGGAGGAGGAGGAGGAGGAGGAGGAGGAGGAGGAGGAGGAGGAGGAGGAGGAGGAGGAGGAGGAGGAGGAGGAGGAGGAGGAGGAGGAGGAGGAGGAGGAGGAGGAGGAGGAGGAGGAGGAGGAGGAGGAGGAGGAGGAGGAGGAGGAGGAGGAGGAGGAGGAGGAGGAGGAGGAGGAGGAGGAGGAGGAGGAGGAGGAGGAGGAGGAGGAGGAGGAGGAGGAGGAGGAGGAGGAGGAGGAGGAGGAGGAGGAGGAGGAGGAGGAGGAGGAGGAGGAGGAGGAGGAGGAGGAGGAGGAGGAGGAGGAGGAGGAGGAGGAGGAGGAGGAGGAGAAGGAGGAAGGGCATTTGATGCCGGCGCGGCTCTCTGTGTTACCCTGGTCATTCCAGTAAATTCTGGCATTCGAGACTATAGAGGAGGAGCTCTGCCGCCTGTTCTGCAGAGATTTGCAAGTTCTATTTGTTTAATAGTATCTTCCTCTTCAGCAGCTCTGTCTTTTATACGCTTTAAAGAAGCTTTATCCCCTGTGTCACTGAATGGGCCTTCTTCCTTATTGAGATAGCGTTGCCGTAATTTAAGCTTAAATTAGCGTCATAATTTTGCTGCAGCCTTGGCATAAAGAACATCAAAATCCAACGTCACTTTATAAGTTAAACCACCAATAAAAGGCTAATTATTAGTGGTACAATATTATAAATTACGTTATTTAATAGCCCTCAGAAAGCTCTATCTTCTAGTGGTCTTAGAAGCTTTCCAACTAATCTTATAAAGAAAATATTAGCAAAAATCTGTTCTTATACCTTTTTTTACTAATTAAAATTATTAATAAAAGGCTAATTATCTTAGCTATAAGGATGCAACTTTATTTTTTAGAAACTTTTAAAATATCTGTTTCTTATAATGATTTAAAAACTTTATTTAAAGCTATAATTTAATAGAAAAGTCTAAAAACTTTATATTATAGTTATTTTTATCCTCTATTTTTCTATATTTATATATATATTTATATAAGATTCTTGTTAAGAATATATGCTGATCAGTAGACTATAGTCTGCACTATTTAGCTATATATGTATAGCCAAATATTGCCTGATTAGGTTATTCCTAATCAGGTATAATACAGGATTTCTTATGCTACTAGCACAGAAAATACTACATGATTTATGTGCTAGCAGGATCTGCACTTAATATACAGATCTACTGTAATCTTACTCTATATATAAGTTGTGACTATTAATAGTATTAATAACTGTTCCTAATCTATATACTTATTCAACAAGTTATAAGCCTAGTGCAAAACAGCTATAGACATCAATAATAAGTAAAGGCCTAATTAAGATTACTAAGCGAGCTATTACTCTTACAGCAAGGTATAATTATATTATATTTAATTATAGACCGTAAGCGAATTAAATACTCTAGGGCTATAGAATTACAAAATCTAGCTAATATTAGTATATACTAAAGTAATTATTAAGAAGATATAGAAGCTAGATGTAAAGACATAATATATTATTTATATCTGTATTAGAGATAAAGATTAAGAGCTTATAAAAGAATATATATTAGTAAAGAAAATATAAGACACATTAAGAAAGAAATATATAAAGATAAGACTATTAAGAAATAGACACTATCTATAGTAATATGTTAACTATTATAAGAAGCCTAAGGAGAGTATAAAAGATACGTAAATAAAGATTTAGTACTTAAGAAGACGTATTAAAGTAACTAATAATTTACTTTAAACATTTATTATACAATGTTAGATGTTCTAATAATTTCTTACTTCTCTTTCTCTAGAATATAATACTATACAAAATACTATTAATAATTAAGAAGAGCATGTCCTTAATGTTAAACCTTTTATATAATAACTCTTTAAGAAAGAATCCTTTTACTAAATAATACTTTTATTCTTTAGGCAATATTACTATTTATTAATAAGGTTCTAGTTATCTTCTAGCTAATAATTATTCTAAAGATCTATAATATTTAAACGCTACTTCTATTCTTAAGAAGATATAATCTCACCTTAAGAATACCTACTATAATAGCTAAAATGTTTTGCCTATTAAGGAAATTATAAATAGCAGAACTGCTCTTATATTAAAAAGCATATAAAAGAGATTAAAGGAAATCATCAACAGAGCTTAAGCAAGCTAAAATAAGAGGAATAAGCTAAAGACAAGAATAGTTAAAGAAGAGAGCATAAGTATAGAAGACTTCTCTTTTGACTCTAAAGACAGAACAGAAGTTTATCTTATAGTATTAGAAAAGTTAATCTATAAGACCCTTAAGTGAATTACTAATACTAGTATATCTGACTATATATAACTAACTAGCTTCCTCTTTAAAAACCCTTAAGAAGAATTAAAGAAATAATCATAAATTTACCAGACTTAAGGTTATATGTTTAAGAGGCAAAATGTGCTTAAATATATATAAAACAGAAGATAATAACTTTATTAAATATATTATATATATCTAGTTTAGATACTAGTCTTCTCTCTAATTTTTTGTTATATAAATCTAAGCTTTCTTGTAGTTTTAATAAAAAGGCACTATATATATAAGATTAAAATAGTAATATAGTTCTTAAAGCTATTAGATATAAAGGCCTTTATATTATTAATTAAATAAGTCTTAAAGCTATAAAGACTATATATTCTGCTTAAGCTATATAGACTATAGTCTATTGTGCTTTTCTTGTATTCTCTGCTAACTATAATTAATAGTAAGCATACTAAATACTTATATAATTACTTGTTAATTATAAGTAATAAGGGAACAAGAATACTAAAAAGATTTGCTTATATAAAAGAGAAGAAGCTTTATAACCTGTATAAGATTATTATATTACAGAAAGCGATTTATAAGCTAAGTAAGATAGACATCTATAAAGTATGTAATCTGACTAAGATAAGAAACTAAATAAATACTTAAGTTTTTTAGCGTAAGACTAACCTTCTTAATCTTATATTAATTAATATTTATAGCCTCTTTCCAACTATACTTAGTGGCGCCTAATACTTTTTAAAGATTATTAATAAATATTTTAGGAAGTTATAAGTAATCCTAATTAAGGATTAAAAGAGAGTAAAGAACTATCTTAAGAGATAGCGCTAAAGTAAAGAACTTATTACAGGGATAAAACTAAAGTGGTAGAGCTAATAGACAGGAATTAGTATGCAATATACTATCTTATATATCTTAAGCCAAAATAATATAGCTAAATATATAATTTAGATAACAGAAAATAATATCTAAGTAATATTAAAGGAATCTGAGTTACTATTTAAACTATAGGATAAGGTAGCAAAGAGACTAATATATACATCTATAATTAAACTATAATTAGCTCTAAGATAAATACACAAAGGATCACTCTTAAGAAAGCTTAGACAAAGACAAAACCTTTAATTAATTATGTCTAGATCTAGGGATATAAGTATTATTGATATATAAATCTAAAATCACTATTAGTGTTTAAGAGACAAGATAAGCTAATAGACTATAACTA